TTTTTGGTCTTTTTGAGACAGGGGCTCATTGTGCAGTTCAGGCTAGCCTTCAGCTCACTTTGTAGCTCAGGCTGGTTTCCAACTTACAATGATCCTCCTGCCTCAGCCTCCTGAGTGCTAGGATTATAGGCACGTGCCACCACACCCGGTGAAGCTACTCTTGAGAGCTCAGCCACCTGCTGCCTGTGGCCAGACAGGGGTTCCCCAATCCCTGTTTTAAGCGAAGGCCTTCTCAAACAGTCTTATTTTGAGAAATCTTGCTTAGCACTTACAAAACAAAAACATAAGGAAATTACCTTTCCAAAGGACCTCTAGATTCTGACCTAAAACCTGCAGGACCCTCCTCTCTCCAGGTTTCATTCATAGCTAGGAACACCTTCCTGAGTTTATTTTATTTTAGCTAATTAATTAATTTTTTGCAGTACTACGAATTGAATATAGAATTTTGTACATGTCAGGCAAGCACTCTACTATCTAGCTACATCCCCACCCCCTTAAAGGTATTTTAAAGAGAATTTTAAACATGCACTTGAGGCATCTTGGGAACAAGATCCAGAAATGTAACTGCTTCTAAAATGATGCTAACATTCACCCTCATAGTACGTGCCTGGGAAGCGTTTTCCTCCTACTCACCATCCTGTGTGCAGGCTCCCAGAAGATTGATGATATTTTTGTGTTTTCCAATCATCTTCATCATCTCCATCTCTGACACCAGATCAGAAAGATCTTTCTCCGTAGCATCATCTGTGAACATTAGGTGAATTACAAATCAGTTAGTTACCTCTAACTCACGGCCTATCATTATTAGTGGCCAAACAAGTTTAAAATGCATGAAACTGAATTTCAGAATGAGAAAAGACTTTCCTAATCGCTTCCCTCATAATATCTGTGAAGGGTCAACTGCCCAGAAATGCCCTGCTCCATGTCAAAGAGCTCAGTGGGGGTCCGTGGGCTCAACAGTCAGGACCAGAACATAGGCTTCTGATGTGTAGGCCAAGACTTTTGTAGCAGACCTTAAAAACCTAAGTGTTCTTCCTCTAGAGTGAAATAATCCCATCATCTGCCATATTCCAGGTACCTTAAAAAGCACTCCAATTCTTATGGTATCCCAAAGCAACTCTGATGATGACAGACAAGAAAACACAATAGAGACATTTTGAATCACTACAGACTTCCTCCAGTGCAAGATTCCTAATCCAACTCCAGCAGCCCCTCGTACATTCACAGATAGGTCTGGGAGGTACCCTGCAACTGAGCACTGAGTGCACGCCTGTGTTGTGAGTAGGTGAAAGGCCAAGCCTCCAACTGACTTCCCAAATGGGTTCCAATTGCCATGCTAAAAAAACCAGCGGTCTATCCCTGTGGTCTGTATGAGTGGCACAAGCTATATATACACAAGATCACAGTGAGCTGTGAGTAAGTGGGGAGACTGTTCCCATGTACCCTCTTCAAACTCATTTAGTATGAAAAAATCTGGCTGACTGAAAAGAAAATGAAATAGAGGCATGGATAGGAACCATGCTGCAAAAAGCTTTTTAGCTTCACAAAAGGAAAAGCAACACAGTTGTCTGTGTGCAAGATCTACTCTGACATATAGGGAGATGAGGGGGTTGGTCTCTCCGGCCCTGGGCCATCCACTGGTTGTAATCAAGGACATGCCACGAAGACTGTGGGTGGGGCTAAGGTCCATGTACATCCTAAAAGGGAAGGTGGCCAGCGCTGGCCTCACAAGGGAAACCACCTTTCTTCTGCAATATTCCCCATTCACTCTATGCCCCAGGACAAAATCAGAAGACCTGCTGAAAAACATGAGAGCCACGAACTGCTCCTGGTAGGGAGCCAGGGCTCCCTCCAGGCTGATTCCCACACACCTGGTATCACCGTCCTGGCAATCAAGCCCCAAAGTGAGAGGATCTCAAAACACCAGATCAATAGGTGAGAGATAACATAAACAGCTTTTCACTCTTTCTAGCCTGCTCCTTCTTCCTGGGGACAGATGTGGTGAGTTTCCCATGAGAATCCAAGGAAGAAAGAAAGCCTAACTCCAGAGCACATCCCACATCCCAAGGAGAGGCTTTGTGACCTGCAAACTATGGGAACATTCAGCTTGGAACCTCCTTTCTGAGATCCTTACAAGATTTATAATGTGACCGTTCCCTATAACTCTTCCTGTAAAAGAATACTACAGGAGAATAAGTTAATGGTTAAAAGTTCTTTAAGCTCTTTAGACACAGGCATGAAGCAGAGTTGGAAGATTTGTATAGACATGTACAGACTCCCATGAGCACAACTCAGGGTTTGTACCTTGGGGTCATTATTTACATGTCACTGAGGCTCCCCACCAGCCCTCACCATCTTCGTTCCTTTTTTAGCTTCTAAGTGACTCCCCCAGACTGACTGATACCATTTGTGTTCTGCTCCCCGTGCAAAAAGAGAAGCCATTCTGCTCCCTGGGCCTCCTGCTCCTGCTCTGAATACAATTTCTCTTTATTTGTAGGTTAAAGTTTGGGTCCTGAATCCAATGTGCCAACTCCATCTAAATCCATCGTTTGTAAGTGAGTGATTACTTTCTAAGCCCACAGAAATATGGAGCGAGTGAAGAACGGTGGTCCCCTAGAAGGTGTCAAAAGAGCTACCACTTGCTAGGAAAACTGGCTTTTCTTTTTTATAAGTACGCACTGCTCAAGATAAATAGTCTGTCCAAGATGCTGATTTATTCTGAAAACCCCTCAGCCTCTAGGTCAACTATGTGCTCTCTGACCCCCTGCAGTGACAGAGTTCACATGCCACTAAAGGAACATTCTTGATAAGCGGCTCCACTGTCCCCACCCCCTCCGCCTCTCCACTTACCTTTCAACATCTTCACCGCCACGGTGACCGCCTCCTTGGGTTTGTCTTTGTCGATTCCCACTGCTTCAGCCATGACCACTTGCCCAAAGCAACCTTCCCCAAGGGGTTTGCCCAGCGTCAGCCTAAGTGTGTAAATAGGGGATTAGCACACGGCATCTGGTGGAGGGGTGCGAGGAGGGAAATTCCAAAACTAAATATAAAAATCTTTCAGCGGCTTGCGAAAAGCATGGCATATTTATCATATGGAACTAATGAGACTTAGGATACACACGTGCTGGAGTATTTTCTTAGTGACGTTTTAGGGAATGTCAATTACGGGTGGAACAGCTATTAAATTTCACATTTGTAGTCTTGATTTATTTTCTTTATGGAAGGCATCCTTGCTTGCGAGGTGGGCAGTCTCCCTGAGTGCCAACAACGAGGAGCTTTTAATGTTGAGCCAATTAAATATTTGTAATTTAGAATGTCTCAGAGAAAAACATTAAGCCTTTTCTTTTCTTTTCTTTTCTTTTCTTTTTGGTCTCTGTAAAGTGGCAGCTTTAAAATCACTATTATTCAAATACCAGTGGATTTTACGGTTACATTCCTTGCCAAGTTACAGGATATGAATCTTAAAGGCATTTCAAAGAATCTCTAATTTTTTGCTAAAGAAAACTAGAATGTGGGGAGAATTTTTTTACGTAAACTTAGAAAGCCTTATGACTACACAAAGTTAACAGAGAAAATCTGAAGTGAACACTGCAAATTATATTTCTAAGCTTAGAAGCTCGATGCACATCACATGAGTAGCCATATATTGTCCTTGGACATTCCAGAAACCAATAGAATGAGAATGGAGAAGTCTGGAATATTTATGAATGTGGTTTTTATCTTAAGCATAACACAGCCAAGTACTGAGCTGCCATTAGTAAACAGTATTTACGGTAAGTACACAATGGTTTGCAAAAGGTCAGCAAAAACAGTGAGGTCAGAGTATGCTATGCTGAGGTCATCCCGTTTCTATCCAGAACTAAAATTAAATTTAACATCTTGGCAGAAAATAAACATTTGCATTGGAAAAATGACTAATTTATGTCCCATTGCCCTGCTACTACAAGCATAACAATCCTCTCTTTGTATAACTTCTGCCTCCGATCTAATAAACTGCTTCTAAATAGCCTTCATTCATTGAAAATCTGCTCCACCTACGTTTGTGCTAACACTATTTAGAAATGCATAGCACTCAGATTTTCCACACTCAGGGTACCCCCGGGTGGGAGCTAATAGTTCAACACATACAGACTCCCACTGTTGACTTCAGTGTCACAGGTGGCAAAAACTACAGACAGAACCTGAAAGCTGCAAGTTCTTAACATATGATCACAACTGCCCAATTCAGTCCTATATACATAGGAATGTGCATACGAACCCAACTACTTATATAATCATACACAGCTAGGGGGCTAGCAGGGCTCATGAGAAACACCCCTTGCTCTCTGCACATTCTGCAGGTAAAGAAGCCATTCTTTGTATTTTCTGTAGTGCCTCATCAGTACTTGTTCTATAAACATGTCTTGAAAGAATGAATAAACTATTTTTTTCACTACAGTACACAAATAAACTGGGAATTACTTCCAATAGCACTCTAACTGAATGACGCCTAGAAAATTATTCAGTTCTAGCTTAGGATACACATTAGTATCTCTACATTGGCTGCTGGGATACAAAAACAATACGTGTAAAGCAAAATCACAAGTGCCGTGCAAGCTATTTCTCCCTTCCATACAGAGCTTGTCACATGCAGTCTCTGGAAAAGCTTATCTTTGTGTTTTCAAATCTGTATATGTATATATAAGAAGTGTATATTAAACATGCAACAGAATCTCAGGGAGACACTGCAAATGTCAAGACAAACGGCATAGCTGTTTATTAGCAAGACGAGAGCTATTTCAATTTATCGGATGCAAAAAGAGCCAGCATTTCTACCCTACATGACTCTCAAGCTGTTCAAACTCTTAATTAGTACTCAAAGGACCCCAGAGTAAGCTGCCATCTCTCCAGTGAAATTTACTTTGGAAGATGGGGCTAGGGATGGTCTCTGCCTAGAGGATGGGGGCTGGCAGCTCACAATCTGCACCTTTGGCTCTTGCCTAGGAAAACCATTTTCCTGGGGTCTGAACTCAGAGCTCCCAGACTACCAAGACACAAATTGAAATGAAAAAGAAACTCCTTTGACCAAGACCTGTGGTGTCCTGGGAGGTACAGTATATTCTATGTGTACTGTTACCCTCAGTTCAGAGAACTGAGTGACGCACCCAAGGCTGCCCAGCCACTGGCTGGCAGAATCAGATTCAAAGGCAGCCCAAATACGCCCAAAGTACATGGACTTGCTCAAATCAGACTGAGATATACAGCTCCTAGGATGCCTTCAACAAAGACCGAAGAGCAGCTCTTTGTCTAAATATCTTATTGGAACACCCCTACCCCACCCAATAAGAAAATCATTATGGACCACAAAAATCAGATCCAGGTCCTTACTTTAAGTTTTTCATACCAGTAAGTATATTAATAACCATTAAAAATAGCAGCCTTTGGTGAGAGATTCTAATGGCAAGTTATACCCTGCATCTCATTTATCCAAAGAAATAAACTATAGAATAGTAATTTTCTAGTAACCAGAAGTTGGAATGTCAGATCTATTTTATAGATTGGATAATTCTACTTTTATTCCATTTGACTGGGTTTGAATTGTCTAGAAATTTAAAAAATGATAACCAGATGCCATCTTGTTTGGAGACCAGCCAAGACTCTGTACTTCTGCTTTAAAAGAGCTATTAAAAAAAAAAAAATCCATTCTTTTCTTTCCCAGGAGTTGGTTATTTAGAAACACAATCTCACTCTTATTGACACTGTCAGAACAAGACCTTTGCAGTTAAAGATCATAAAAAGAAAATGTCAATCCAATATTCCCATTTATATCGAAGTTTCCATTCGAGGATATGCCCAGCAGTACTCACTTATCTCTGGGGAACTCCCACTTTGGATCCTCTGGCAGTTCATATTCAGAGACCCCAGCCAGCATTGGGGTGTCTGCTGTTGAGGAGAGACGTGTTGTTATCCTCACCAGTGGGGTGTTGGAGTTCATGGAGGAGCTGGACTCAGCAGAAACCTGAATACAAAACACAAAGACACAGATGTAATCCTGGCTCTACCTGAGAAGGCTGGAACTGAGCCAAAGCCCAGCCAGAGCATCAATTCTTAGAAAAGAAGTGGGTAGGGGCTGGACAAAGTCATAAACCGAAACAATAAACACTGGATTCTCATCCCTCTATTCTTCCATCTATGCAGCACCAGATTTTACCCGAAGTACATATTCCTAAGATCAGGTTCTCAAATGAAAAAATGTTATGTAAGTCTGATCAAACTGTAAGTCTGCTTTCTGTCCTCATTCTTCAGGATAGTCACTTGAGGACAGGTCCACAGACCTCAATGGCTTCATTATTGTCTTTTGCTGCACTGCAGCCCTAGATAATCAAGCTCCTCTCAGACCATGGATCAATGCTCTGCTCATGAAATTTCACAAGGACCTTTAGGAAATGAGCTCTTCACTATTTCCTCTGTCTTTGGAAGTATAAAGCAGACTATCTCAAGGAAAGAGTTCCAGGATTTGAACGTGAAAGACGTTCCAGTAGCTCCACACCCTTTTTTGCAAGATAACCCAAGACCCAGGCGCTGGGGAGTACTGCTTCTCCCCAGATCTTCTGGATGCTTGTTGATGCCCGGGCCTTTCAGCGAAATCAGGTTGCCTCTTGTCAACTTCAACTTCAAATACCAGTGCACTGAATGTGTGAGATAAAAGTCATGGGAAAGAAAAATACACCTTTATTCATAATCACGTCGGAGAGCTTCTCTCCCACCCGGCACAACGCAAGACTCCCTCGAGTTACTTCTTCATTTACCCTGATCCATTTCAGTATGTGTCTGATAATGATAATTTCTTAAATACAGTCTCCCCTTGGCTGGTTTCTGTGAAAGGAAAACTTATGCCGAGCCTACCTAAAGCCTACTTCTGAGCACATCTACACAGTCTTGATCTGATCAGAAGATGCCTGAATATTGCCTTACTCTAAACCAGGAACGAGACCTTAGCCCAAGAGAGTTAGAATGTGAGGTTAGCTGTAAGTGGTGGTGTACATCTACAATCCTAGGAATCCTACAATCTCTGAGAGGCTGAGGCAGGAGAATTGTAAATGTGAGTTCAGCTTGGGCAACTTGGCAACTTAGTGAGATCCTGTCTTATAATTTAAAAAAATAAAAATGGCTGGGGATAGAGCTCAACACCAAGGTCCTGGGTTCAATCCCCCGTACAAGGAGTGGGGGAGGAAGGAGAAGAAGGAGGGTGAAAGAGAAGAGTAGAGGGAGAGAGGAAGGGAGGAGAGAGGGAGGGACGCAGGGAGGGAGGGAACAAGGGAGGGGAGGGAGAAAGGGAGAGAGAGAATATGTGAGGTTAACATGAAGAATCCAAGCAGCATACCAAGCCATGTGAACTATGGAGGGAACTATGGAGGGAACTGTCTCTTGTCTCCTGTCTAGGGTGACAGTATCTCTGTTATTCTTACAAATACCTCCTCCTCCAAACTGGCAAAGACTGAGTTGGGACAGACAAACTGAGGTGGCACAAACTTTCACAAAGTGTGGGTCCTAGGTTCTTCTCACCTGGAATCAGAGGACCTGCAAGCCCCCTTCCCAGGACCATCCTATTTGGAAAGCCCTGATTCTCTCTTTGTAAACCCAGACTGCCCTTAATACAGGTTGGAAACTCAAGAAGATGCTCAAGAATAAATTGGGAAGAAAATTAGTTTACAAATAGGGAGTTGTTTTCAGTATTAAAATCAAGAAGCGGGCCACTTATAGAATTTCCATTATCTTTTAAAAGTGTACACGACTACATTTCTGAGCAGACTTTTGATGGGGGGAAGGTGGGAGGGTTATTTCCAAATTTTACTATGCAGATGTTTATTCACTGTGGCATAGCAAAATTTAAAAATTGGGGGCAGGGAGAGGGAGCTGAAAAATTGATAATTTTGTAACTGAGAGCCTTATTCCTAAGTATCCAGGTTGCAAAGGTAAATGGCAGAAGCAAGCAAAGAAAGAAAAAAGACAAGGTAAATGGTAAACGTATGAGCTCCTGTAGAATCCACTTCTGTTCCCAATAACAACCTAGTCTAGGCAGAAGTTCTCTGAGCCTACAGATGATGTGCTACTTCCCTCCATAGTTCACATGGTGTCCAACCCCATGATAATAAGCCAACCTCATCTGTAGATGAGGAAGAAGAGAAACATCAAAATTCTCAATTTCCATCAACCACATAAGCATCTTTAGGGTTTCATCATCAGAGAAGGGAGCTCAGGAAGCCTCAGGAATAAGTTTGGCCAGTGATGCTTCCCTAAGCTTTTTCACCCACCTAACTCATTCTGCATCCATGCCGTGTGCTTGCAAACGGTACCTGGTGCTTTAAAAAAATAATAATAAAAAGGTATTCCAGGAAGTTCTTTTACATAAACAGCCAAAAACTGCCACTCCTTGCAATGGAAACTTGTGCTTGAAGATCAGAGGCAAGAAGTTCCAGCCAAGCTAGTAAAAGTCAGCCTAGTGATGAGACAATACAGGCCTCGTATGGCCAAGGTCCAACAGATTCTGCAGCCAGGACACTCTGCAGGACCACCAGCATAGCCCCTCTTCACTAGACACCAGCGTTCCCGGAGCTGCACTGCAGGGCGCATGCGTGCTGCAGCAAGGGAGGAGGGAAACTGATTGGGAAATCACCGGAGGTCATGGTGCTGGACAACATTAAAATCCACAGAATGCAGGCACATCGGAGCTTCTGTGCCTTGTCCCTACAGATCACCACACCCCGAGGGAGCCTTATGGAATAGGATGTGAGAAAGTAGCTTTCCTGCAGTGAGGGTGAGAACAGACATTTAAAACATTTCTGGAAGGATATCTGAGTCTTAGCAGTCGTCACCTTTGGGGAGAGAGATCAAAGGTTGGGGGAGAGGTTAGAAAATATGTCTCATTTCAGGACTTTCTAGACCATTTGGATTTTATTACCACGTATGTATTTTTCTTTTATGTTTTAGGAGAAGCACTTTCTTCAGCAAAAATATTTCTTCTAATAATAAGAATCTGAACTGAGGCATGAACACAGAGAAAAGAAAACGGAGGGCATATGCTTGGAATGTATCAACTTCTAAAGTAGGCTAGAAATGGCAAGACCATTGCTTTTATTCCCCTTTTCGGCTCCCAGGCTACGTTTTACAGCATCTCGGCATCCTTCGATGTGGGTATTCCAGTGACTGTCCACAGTCAAGCATCTCTAGCTGCTGCCCAGGCTGAGGGTGCCTGCAGTCCTCTACCAAAGAGGGACTCTGTGGTCCAACTGTCAGGGTCCACGTCCCAGCTTTACAACATCCTATGTGAGCTTTGGGAAGTCACGTAACCTTCCTAAGATTGTTTCCTCATCTGTTAAATAAGAGATAGGCATCTCAGAGTTAACATGAAGATGGAATGAAGCAAAACCCAGCAAAATGCTTGCCGCTGAGCTGGACCCTCAGAAAGAGGGTCAGTTACATTTGCTACCTACACCACAGTATTTTTCCTTAGCATCTTTAGAATCATTGGTGGCCAGCTCCCAGAAAATATACAATGGCACCTCTTTGGATAATTCAGAGTATTTGGAGGCTGGGGTTTAGACACCGTGCTATGCACAAGGAGAGAGACAGCCTGGTGACAACAAGGACTACCCGCAGAACAGGACACGCCTTCACGGGCACATCTGATTTGGAAGGTAAGGCCCTCCATTTCTGGCTGGGACATGCTAGAGCTCCAGCAAACAAGGAATGAAGAATCTAGGAGTCAATCCTAGTGTCAAGCAGGGCTACTTCAGAACAGAGAAATGTAATGTTCGGTCAGAAGTCGATTGCTCTGTGGTGAACCTCTGACCCAAAGGGACTCTGCATCCACAAACACATAGCACACCTTGGCAACTATGCACACCAGCTCCCAAACACAGCATCTCCCAAACCGCTCCACGAGCTTTTAATGTGAAAGCTCTTAAAATGGAAAATCTAAAAAGAAAAAAATTAATACTAATAACTAAAATACGATGGAAGACCTTTACAAACTTTTATTGTATAAAATGATGTTTACAAAATGATGTTTACTTTTGGGAATTTTGTTCAGCTAAAGTTTAGAGATCAGATTAAATGTGGAAAATGTTTTTTGTAAAAACAAAGCGGGAAAAAAAAAAGGGTAAGAAAACACCCAAAGTAGAAGAAAGTACAGAATCTGATCACTCTGTCTGTCGAGGTATATCTTAATTTTACCTCCATGCATTTTTACTAGGATTTTAAAATCCCCTCTGGGACTGTAAAATACAACTGGCTTTCTCTTCACTCCCTTCCCCTCTGAAAGCAAACCTGTTTGGAGGGCTTGGTGTGATCCCTGGCAGGCAGTTTCCCCCAAGGGACGCCATGTTTCAGGGGCTCCTTTCCTCTGATTCATATCCCTGCTGCCCACCTTGGAGGTCTTCCCTTCGGAGTGTTAAATTATCATTTTTCTTCTTCAATAAAATCATAATTTTCCCTATCAGATATTCTTTCAGTCTACAGACTTTAATTCTGGAGTTTCAACTCCTTTTAAAAAAATATTCTATTGTTAGTGAGTCGTCAGTGACTTGTAAACAAAAAAAATTGCTAACACTTTTCAGTAAACTGTTTCCTGCACGCAAATCTTGGCAGGCATTTTTTAAAGCATATATTTTCACAGTTTCCAATTTAGCTTCCTTACTTTCCAGGATCTCTTTACCATGTGCCATAAATCAAGCTTTTAACTAAATGAGCTTTTCGTATATTTCCATAGTACATATGGGAGATTAAGCGAGGAAGTACAGGGTTTTTTTCTTTTTTCTTTTTAAAGGGCCACCAAGAAATAGTGTTATCTCTTTTTACTAGATTCAAGTTAATACCTAGAGGGGGCCTCAGAGATCAGAGCTGAGAGAAACAAAGATGCTACGGGAGAGATGTGATTTAAATGTGTGTGTTTTTTCCTGAGAACTGACAGATACCCTTGGACCACAGCCTGCCTAAGAAACTGTCCACCTCTCAGGCTTCAGACCTAGTGTCCGGAACAGAACAGCAGGCCCAGTGTGTACCTACTTCTACCATTTGCCTTGCTCCCCAACCCCTAAGGCCAAAGAAAATGCTTTCGTCATATCAAGCTGGGAGCTAAAGCTCCAAGAGGTTTTCTGAGGTTGGATTTTTTTTTCTCCCATTACAAAAATGAGGAAATTAGGCAAGGAAGTTGATCAGACACTCAAGTTTCTCCCTTAATAAGCCTCCACCTCCCTTAGACCACCTCCAGACTCTTGAGCAACCTGTCAGAGCAATGACATACTAGTCTTGGATTCTACTTGGAAGATCTCGTCACCAGAGTCTAGGTCAGATCTTGGTCAGATTAGCATGTTGTTCTGAGGCTGAGAGAAGAGAAGTCTGGTCAAGTGGGGGCGGGGGAGGGGAAGCACCAGCCGAAAGGACAGGTCCCCGTCAGCTCGGCCATGACCATTCTAATTACCCAAATGTTTTCTAGAGCTAGGGAGTTCCCATTAGACCACTTGACTAACTACATTACTGACAATATTCCAGAATGGTGGAGTTCAGCTGCCAGGCAGCAAGCAAGTTTCTAGAAGCAGAACTTCCCTTCATGGAGTTTGGTTTACTTATTGACCGTTAATACACAGCCCTAAGAACTGGCTCCTGACCCAGCAGTTCCTCCTTCCTTTCCCTCTCTGCCCCACTCCTAACTTCCCCAGGGCATGCCATGTACCTCAGAGGTATCATTACAAATGTACCCTTGGTTTCTCATTGGTTTTTACTCTGCCTATACCTGCAGCTACAAGGTTGAAACTCATATCTGAGTAAAATACCCTGCAGCCCTGTGAGTTGCTGACAGGGTTGGGGTACACTGTGAGCTACACAGCCTTCATGTGAACAGATCCAGGCCTGAGACAGTTAAATTTCCATTCCACCTATGGATATGGCTGCAGAAAAGAGAACTGACATGCTCACAGAAAAACCTACTCAACAAACCCACCATGTCTCCTGAGCAAGCCACCTTGGCTTCCTGTGCGTACCCTTTTGCACCTGCTCCCACCCTACCATCATCTCTCAAGTGACTGGTGGGAGCCACAGAAGGTGAAGCTGTCCCTCAAACTCAGGATGTGTACAGGGGGCTTCACAATGGCTACTAGCTGTCCAGCAGGCCTGTACAAGAACCAAGAGGCTCACAAAGATGCCAATTTAACACAAGGACTGAGAAATGGAGGCAAGCGAGCAGGTGCCTGTCATAGTCTCCCAGCCCTGACCTGATGGAGGAGGAGCCTCCATCAAACAGGAGATGCCACACGCAACTGCCTCACCCCATCAAAGAGTTGCTTCTTTTTCCCTACGCATCAGAGCACATCAAGTATCAAAAAGTCATAGCTAAAAAGGTAAGGCTAAAGAACTTGTCACTAAACTGGTCTAAATGTACTCTTTCAGTTTTCTATACATAAAAATAATAGATTGATCTAAATCTAGCATAAAAAAAATCACAGTTACTGGAGGGTGAGCACAGGAATTTCTTCTTTGGTATAAAAAAATCTTTAGTCAAAAACAAACTGGAATGTCTGTCTTATAACAGTAAGTCCAGTGTGGTTTAGTAAATGTTAAGAGGGAAAAACTAACAATAAGATAAACAAATAAACAAACATGTACACACACACAATTCTTATTCTACAAAGACAGCAGCGATGGAGTGAGTAGGTAGAGAGAGACGCTACATAAATACATGTTAAGGACAGGTAAGGGGTAGAGCCAAGAAGAAAGAATGTGGATTCCACCATGAGGATACTGAGCATTACCTGTCAGCCAGGAGGGACAGGGCCAGTGCAGAAGTGGCCTTGTGAATGCCTAGGAGCAACAAGTCCTCCTGACATCTGATTACAGGCTCACCTGACGCCAAGTAAAAGCACGCTTGGCATCCCTGTGGAATTCACTCTGTCATCAACATTATCTGCAGCCCTTTGTAGGGCTTTTCCTTCCAGCTACAGTCCAGTAACCCTCTTTTATCCAGAAACTAGATAGGCATCTCCCCTCTAAAGGGGCATGATTAGTGACAGGATGATCTTTGGGAACAGTTCATAAGGCACCACATTTTGGCATATACCAACAGCTGAAGCATGTCAACATCCCCCCAAATAAATTAATCTCCCAGAGATTGAGTTTTCCAGGGTGACTGGTATTTGCCGACTTTCCTCTGCTTCTGTTATACTACAGTATTTATCCCTACGGAAACACAAGGCAATTACATTTCAAAGGCTCTCCAAATAACCCCAGAGCCAATGGCAAAGGCACAGGCCATGTCTTACATGGCATCTGGTTTGGATAAGTTATAGTACATTACAGTGAAGAAAAGAAAGGAGGGAAGAAAGTGATGAATAAAAGGAGGGGAAAAAATGAGGAAAGAATCCGAATCTTCCTTTAGTCAAGCAGGAAATATGAGAAAAATGATCAACTGAGGTAGTGACAGACAATGAAGAAAATCCAGTCAAAGAGAAGGAAAACATAATGGCTGTGGGTGTACTGAAGGGATTTTCAAGGCATACCTCTGTTTTATAAAGTTAAAAAGAAAGTATTACAATCATTGCCCCCCAGAAATGAAATAACTGTGGGACAGTAGTCTAGCTACACTAAATTAGAAGTTTCCTATTTTTTCCCCTCTTAGAAAAAAAATTAATAGAGATGGGATTTCCACTCCCCTGTTCCAACTCTCCAAGCCTCACTCCCACTACGGAGGCTCTAAAGAATTGCCCCGAGGTTACCAGTACTACTGTACCTAAAGGAGAGTGGAGGAGGAGTGGCTACACAGCTGGAAGCCACAGCACTATTGGGCCACATAAGAGTCATCTTAGAACAGGATTCCAGAAGAACTGGCCAGGCAATTGGTCCTAGTGCCATCATTATGTCTCTAGCCACATGAATGACAGCGATGTCGCTCAAAATAACAGCATTCTCGGTGGCAGAAGAGACCCAGTCGGCCTATTTCCCCTCATGCTCTTAGCACAGTTTGGTCATTCTCGGTACTTGACATACACTTCAAATTTGAGCCTCAAGTTCCAATCAAAATATCCACTAGGAATGTGACTCCAAAGATGTTAACAAGGACCCATCACCTGGAGTTGGGAGATGGGTTGAGAACAGCCAGATCTCTGACAAAACTCCTGCGAACTGGAGGGTCCTGACCCTTCCTAAAATCTACATAACAGAGCACTGCTACCTTACGTCCCAGAAGAGGCACGGATGGGGAAGAATCTAGAGATTCTCAAAGAGCTTTTTAGAATCACCTGGAGATTTGCTTAAAATGCAGATTCCACGCTCTATCCATGATCTACTGAACAAGAATCTCAGGCTGAGACTAAGGAATCTACAATTTTAAAAAGCATAAATTCTGCTTAAAACATACACCAAAACAGCCAGTAAGTTGGCTGTTTCTCTACTTAAAAACAAAATACCTCACCTTTATTGGAACCAAGTTTCAAATACTCTCACATAGACTTTGCATTCACACATGACTTTTCATCTCTCTTCATGAACAAGAAGAAAAGAGTCAAAGTATTGCCTGTCCAATCCATCTTTGCAGGGCTTTGGTTTATGGTAGAAGCTTTATCTTGCCCTATTCTTTCCAAACTAACCAGGAGGCATATATAAGAACAGTACCCACCAAAGATCAAACGCAAGGTTAAAAGCAATCCTCGTCCAGTTGCACATAAAAATTATTCTACTACTGAATCCACAGTCACACCTGTGAATTACTGACAATAACACAATAGTCTATGTATACAAAGTTATTAGTAATTGGAGGATTCAGCCAAACTTCAGTTTAGAAAGAAATCATGAGCCAGTTTAAAGCAAGGAGTAGTTCATATACACCCCCAGCTCATAGGTTTTTAATTTTGACTTAAAAAAAAATCAGTCTCCCTAGTGTGAGAAGCTGAAAGAGTAAATAAGATCCAAAATGCACAACAGATATTGTAAAATTGGAAGAAACTGTTCAAAAGGAGAAAGAAACTGGGATGGGGAAAGGTGAAAAGAAAGAAGAGAGAAGAAAAAATATATATATCTACACACACACATACAAGATAGTTAAGGTCATTACACTACTAATTTCTCTCAGTTCATTGAAAAGAAAGGTTTGTGCTAATATTATTTGGACAACTTAATGCCTATATCTTGTACTGAGTATCTAATTTAAAGATAACAATACACAATATATTAACCATTGTTACTCTCCTACTATCATGTTTTGAAATTTTGTTTACTTTCTTTTCCTCTTCAAAATAAAATTTAAAAAAAAAAAACAAAGGATGCCAATTCTTAAAAAAAATTAAAAATGACAAAATAAATCAAAGAGTATTAGTCTCTTCTCCACTAGTAGTATAAGCTCCATCCTAATATTTGTTCCTGTCTCCAAAAAAAAAGAAAAAGAAAAAGCATATGATCATAAGCAGCAAAAAATGACCTAAGTTTTTTATTTAAAACCCATCAAGTCCGCACACGGGAACTGCCTCCAGTGTTACCTCCTGTCCTGCTGATCAGCTCTCTGGTTTTTACACTGTCATCCTTTCCTCGCTTTGGAACTAGACCTCATCTGCTGACCCTAGTGAAACAGTACAACTCAGACCCTCAAAGTTTCAAACACTAATTGGACAACCACCAAGAGGCACATCGGAACCATCCGCACAATGAGCTCACCACACAGCATCAAAGCAGGGGAAAAGATCAAGAGCTGGCTGGGTCATGGGGAGAGTAAATTTCTTTAAACTCTTTATCTACTTTCTGTTACCTGTCTCCGCAGGGGGATGCGCTTGGTCAGCTTGTGCACAGCCGGCTGGCTGCTGAAGTCGGGCTTCTTGGTCGTGGTCTTCATTCGGCACACAATGACTGTCACCACCATACAGGCGATTAAGAAGACCCCTATGCAGTAAATGGCTATCTCCAGGTAATCTGGGGAAGGTGTAATCTCCTTTTCTCTTACAGGAGCTAGATTGTAGATTATAGGTGGGAAGAACAGACAAGCAGGCCAGAGAGTTAGGACACTCGAGTAACGTACGACAACATTACTAAAGGAATCAAAGGCAATGACCAGTCTTGAGGCAAGGTGGGCTTCCCAATAACTCAATGCTGCAAGATGGCAGGGAGCACAGGCCCATCCAGTGCCTCTCCAGGTGCAAATGTGTAACTAATGTTCCTCACTTTACATAGAGCCTGGGTGGTCACTATCTCCTGTCTCAGTGAGCGGCTGACACCAAGCCACAGAGGGCAGGCTACAAGGCCACATTCTATTAGGCATCTTGGCAGGGCAAGACCACCAACTGCACCCACAACAAAGGACTACTTTTCATGACAGCCTCGGAATACAAACCAAGCTGGAAAATCTTGAACATGAGCACACCCATTTTGTTTCTCAGGAGATAGTGGCAATGCTTCAGTCCTCCTGGGGCAGGCTCTTCCAGAGGAAGGCTCAAGGAGATGATTTACCCCAGATGAACATAGCTCCACATGAAATGAATATTCATGCAATCGGCTGCCTCCAAAAAAGTTTTAGTGGTTTATTTAATATAGTCCAGCATGTTATTTAATTAAATAAACCAATGCATTTAATATAAAGACTGGATTGTTTACATGAAATCATTATATTCATAGTAAAGTTTATGGTATTCCTTAACCATAAAAATTTTGTGTATCTGGTTATACTAATAAATCACTACAACTTTTCCCTCAAGAAAAAAAATATAAAGGTGAATAAATATGTAATTAATTTAGCACCTTCTTAAATCAACTTCCAACAACACTGCTCCCTCCTTTGTCCTCAGTGGTCAATCTATAAGCAGTGTATTCCCAAGTAGCATTTTTCTCAAACTGCATTCTTAGTTAATAGGCTAGTACTGTCAGGCAAATTGGTTAAGAAGTGCCTGCCAGGCACTTGCACAATGCAGTACTGCAAGTAAAAGCAAGCTCAACAGCAATCTCATTGTTTCAAAGCAAAGACTCATAGAGCAGATTCACAATAAAAGGGCAAATGGATGCAATGGTATTAAAGCTTATACATTTTAATCAGGAAAATACTTGCAAGGTAGTCAAAACTCTCAGCAGCACAGCACACAATGAAATGATCAATCTATTTTTACTAGATATGAAATAAGCATGCAGGTAGCCACTGTATTCTAAAAATAAGGAATTAATAACTGGAGTGGAACATCATAAGCTAGCAAACCACAGTCTATGCAAGTTTCACAAAGGAAATAATAAACAGGCAGCAGCATCAGAGAGGACAGTGCTTATCAAGGTTTAACTAAGCTAGAGATGTCAGTTAAAGACTTAGATAGCAGCAATATTTAGGCAACAGGGCTTTGCTGATGTTTATTTCTCCACAGCATGGAAATAACATCAAGCCCAAGATGGCATGAGCATGCGCTGCAGTAAAAGCAAACTAAGAGTCCATTCTATTGCAACATGCAACAAGCCACCGATTCCCAAGGTAGGTAACACACTGCTTCTGCACACCTACATTCAGAGGTGCATCCCCCGGGCACCCCAGGATACATCCATCTGCTTACATTTTGTTAAAAATATAAAGTAGGACAAGAAAAATAAACCACATATGGATTTCAGCAAAGTGGAATTTTCAATGAGAAAAACTTACTTTGCATTTTACCAAGTAATTTCAACTTCTTCCTTAAGAGAAAAGGGGATGGGCTAATTTATATATTGGCTCAATGACTCACTAAAATTACTATGATCCCATTGGGTTTTAAGGGTGAGATTTCACTTGATCATAAATGGAGTGTGGGATCTCCTTGTAACTGAATTTCTAAGACAACTTTCTTATCCTTGGGGGATCATTTTGAATTTTTTATCTTTATGCAAGAATAAAAGGGCTATTTTAACAGAAGCTGTGTTAATTTTATAGCAATCAACCAAGAAAAGGGAAAAACCCATGGAGAGAAAGAGCAGTATATACCTGGCAGAACTGTCAACCATGCAGAGTGAAAGGATATCCCAATAGAATTACCCGCCAAGCACGTATATTCCCCAGCATCCTCAAAAGTTACATTCCGAATATAGAGAACCTCAATTTCTTTGTCCGTGGTGTTAACACCGGCGGCCTAGAAAACAAAGGAAGCAAGAAAAAGGCTAGAGGACACAGGAATGATTGTGGAAGGGGCCATGGAACCAGGAGGCCTTGCACCGACGGCTCCAGGAGGTGCTGGCCACTTGTAGATTCCGACTGCAGCCCATCCACAAAGCCCACAACCAAGAGACATGAAGAGCCACTGGCCAGCTCGCCTCTGCAGGCCCATCACCACACCGGCTTCACCACCTAGACATGCATGCAATCAGACACATGGAAAAATCAACCCACAGAGGTCCATTCTCCTGGTCTTTGCTTTGGTTTGGATTTAGGGTAATTTTCCAAATGTATAATGCAGAAAAGGCTAAGTTGGGTTATGGTCCTATTGGCTGCAGACTCCCATGTTGAAAAAAGCATAGTACAATCTAAATTGCTTTATAATAAAATAAAATACTAAAGATAAGCCCAGACGGATACCTCCTAGGTCCCTCTGGGTCTGTGGGAATGAACTAGGCTGAAAGGTTGTCTTGGTCACAGGCTCTGGTTAATTTTACTTTCATAAAACCATCTCGCTTACATAGCATTGAAAGAAAATGGAAGAAAGCATGATCTTGGCAAGAGAAAAAAAATGAGTTTTCCTCTTTTTTACTATAAAGATTTGAATGTGAATCATGACAAACTAAAAAAGCCAATCTTCTTCTTTTAGTAGCATCGAGTGGTATTAACTAGCAGAGACGAACCATCCTTGAATTTGAACAGGATCAACTATGGAACCAAAGAAACAATGCTTTGTGGCACTGATTAATTGCATTACAGCACTATTTCTTTACAAACCTGGGGTGGAAGGAAATAAGAATTCTGCTGATCCTGAAATGCTATAGATTCAATTCACAGGTGTGTGTTTCAAATGGTGTTAATGTGCAGTCCTCATGGGAAATGTGCAGCCCAAACAAGATAAACCAGAAGGAACAACTTTAAAAAACTGGGTGGGGGTGGAGGGCAATCTTTAGAAGAAATTAGAGCAAGCACTTTGAACGTTGTGGGCATTTTTCCATGGCTGCTGGCATCATGCCAGCTGCATCACCAAAGAAAGATTATTATAAATATACCAAGGCCACAAGAGTTATCCTACAAGCTGCCTGCAGTCTCCCAAAGCACCAAGTCTTTTCAGCTTCTATATCCAGCTTTCTTTTACAAAACAAAAACAAAAACAAAAACATTGTTACCTTGCTGTTTTGGCAGGACAGTGAGCCAGGCAGACTGGTTGGCCTGCCCTATATAATTGGAGACCTTACATATATACTCCCCAGCATCCGCCTCAGTCACATTGAACAGAGCCAGCACTTCTGCATTGGAACTATTTATCCCCGAGTGCTAGAACAGACATAGGAGAACAATATAATGGCCAACCAGGAAGGACTCAGTGCTGTCTATGGTCCCACCACCAACACACCACAAGAAAACAATGTCCATTATGGCTAAAGAGTTATGGGATGAGGAAGGACAAAGGCAAATAGTGAACAGTGAAAGTGACCTGGAGAAAAGGGTAGAAGGGTGTGACAAACAGCTGGTGGAATGGATCAGCAGTTCCCCAGGTTGGTCATCTTTCCCCAGATTTCTAGATCCTGGGTATTGTTAGCTGGAGAAAGCACTGCATTGATTGAGAGTTCTTAGTTAGCCATCCATGGTTCTATTGGCAGGCTATTCTTTTTAAGGATATTCTCCATGAGCAACTCAGCCTAGAAGGTATGATAGGTGATGAGCTAAGAAGTAGCAGTACAGACTTATCTGCCACAGGCTATTACATCTTGAAGAGCAAGCTAGATCTAAAACTTCAAACTGGCCAGACATGATTGCACATGCCTGTAATCCCAGCACTTGGGAGTCTGAGCCAGGAGGACTGCTGTGAGTTTGAGGCCATCTTAGGCTACATGGTAAGTTCAAGGCCAGCCTGAACTACAAAGTGAGACCCTGTCTCAAAAATATAAAACAATGAATAAATCACACGTCAAGTGGTTTTCAAAGGTTAAACAATATTTTTGGAGAAAAAAATCTAAATTGTTTCTAAAAGGTGGATATTAAAATCTGATCCTAAACTCGTATCAACAGAAATCAACATCAGAATAACAATGAACATTAGTAGAGTATCTAAAGCTTTCCAAACCCTTGTCCCTCTACTCCACTGGAGAGATAGTACTATGATCTCCACTTTCAAGATGTGCAGCTGAGCCTAACAGTCTCATCTAAGAACTCAGGCTGACAAAGAGCTGAACTGTCTCACTCCAAATTCAGTAGTGCTACCCTAGCCCATAGCACCCTTCTGAAATCTTACTAGCAAGTCTAATGCCTGGTAACTTAACACACTCTACTTGCCAATCCAAAAAGAATCTACTGCTCTCAAATTCAAAAGAAAGCCAAAGACTTGACCAAACCCACAGAGGAGTCCCCAGTGTGGGCCCCTTGGGATTCAGAAAGTTCTCACCTTCAGAACCTTGAGATAGGGCAGCCCATCGGGCCCGTATTTACTGCCATTCTTTTCCACATGTTTGATCCACTGGATGTGAGGTTGAGCGTCACTGTAAACTTTGCAGACAAATTCCACGTCCCCTCCGACGACCGTGGAGGCATTTGCTGGCAGTCCAGCTTGGAGGATGGGCCTGTGTGGCGATCGCTCTGACGGAGAGGGGAAGAAAGGAGGAGCGGGATGGGAGAAAGAAAGACCGATAAATAAGTGGTGTTGTCCAGAAGGTTGTCGGGGTGCAGGCCAAAAAGGCCTCCCGTCTGCTGGCTGACTCCTTTGGAATAACAGAGCCCCATCCACAACAAAAATGACTTCAAAGGAGACCGCTGGAGCATAACCCTCGTAAAAAGCATACTTATTTAGAAAATCAAGAAGATAACTTATTACATCCCACATTACTGGTTATCCATGGCCACCTAATGAACAAGGGGAAAGATTTTGACAATCTAAAAGACAAATGGTAGCACAGAGAGCAGTGACTCATTCCTCTGCAGCTGATTTCCAAAACTCACCTTAACCCAGGGCTGAATGTTATGGAAAAGTGATAAAACTAACTTTCAGGATAATCTCAGTACCAAAACTGGCTCCTGTACACATAGGGTCTCCTACGTATTTCTAAGATGCCCCAAGAAAGCTTACATTGCTTTTGTTGAAAAGCACACTAGAAAGTAAAGGTCAGGGTTTTGAAAAGACCATACACGAAGAGACCCTACTAACACCTGGATTCATCTCTTTGTCGTGAATCTTATACCTCTTGTTGGCTCCTTATTCACAGTGATTAACCTAATATTAAGTCTGATGTGATACTGAAAGAAACAGGCTATGTTTTACACTATCTGAGAGGAGGTCCCACACATGGCTGTTCAAGACTTAAGCAATTAAAAAATGGGTGAAGGCCTTTAATAAATACTTCTCCAAAGAAGACATACAAATGACCAACAGGATAGGAAAAGATGTTCATCATTAACCACCAGGGAAATACAAATCAAAACCAAGTCTACCTTGCATTTGTTAAGATGGCTACTACCAAAAACAAGTATTGGTGAGGATATGAAGAAACCCCCTGCACACACTAGCAGTGGGAACGCAAGAGGGTATGGCCACCTACATAAAACAATATGGAGTCTCCTCAGGAAGTACTAACAGAACGACCACATGATCCAGCAATCCCACATGTATTTATCCAAAAGAACAAAAATCAGAATCTGACACATCAGCAGTCCTATCTTCATCACAGCACTATTCCTAACAGCCAAGATATTGATTTAACAAGCAAGCTAAATGTCCATCAATAGATGAATAAAATTAAAAAGTATAATCTCTACATACAATGGAAAACCATCCAGCTTTTACAAAGAACATCTTGCAATATACGCCCAAATAGATACAGCTAGAGGACATTATGCCAGATTCATCACAGAAGGCCAAATACTGCATGGCTTCCACCTATAGGAGGCAACTTAATTATATATTCAAAGAGTAGAAGGGCTGAGGGCTGAGGCTGAAGGGGAAATGGAGAGTTGCTCATCAAGGGGTGTAAACTTTCCATCCAGCAAGATGAGTAACCCCCACATTCACCAATAACAAAGTATACATTTAAAATATGTTAGGACAATAGATCTCATATTAAGTGTTTTTACAAGAATAAAATAAAGAGAGTCAAGTAAGGCCAGACTGCTGTGTGATCTTGTCTACACAAACACTGTAACTATAAACTTAATCTTTCTACATGACAGGTCATTAAAAAAACACACAAAACTCAATCATCAGTCCATTCCTAACTCCATCCCCAACACCTGCACATACCAGCCCTCTCCTTTCCTTTCTCTTCCAACCTTTGGTACCACTGCCCTTAACCTCCAGCTTAAGAGCCAGTCAATGGAAGTGAGACCTCAGCCAGCCTAACGCATCAGAGACATCTCCACGATGCACCTAAGAATCCCTGTGTGCTGTACTGGGAACAGCAAGTCACCATGATAAACATCTAAGCCTTTCTATTGGAGCCTTTCAGGTTAAAATATCATTCAGTGGAATTTGTTGGATAAGAGCCAAACCATGTGCAAATTGATTTTATTGCATAAGCCTATTTCTGGCCCCTAAAAACTTTTTTGAACAGAAAAACTGCTAGTAGTTGCCCTTTGCACATTACATTCTGAAATCTCCCATCACTTCACAGACACCTATGTTTCCATGTTATAAAGATAAGTATTTCAGAGCCCCCAAAGAAGTCATTCATCTGTTCTAATATCACTGGTGTAGGCTGAGCAGAGAAGCCAAAAGTCAGGACTTCTGGGTTTTGAGGGCAGAAAAACTCAGAGCTTGATTTCTTCAAACATCACAAGAAACCCTAAGACTTTGGCTAATAAGTTGTCTCAGAGATGGGCCATAGGAACCTGTGTGCTCCTGGCTGGCCCATCCATGTGGGAAGGACAGAGTTAAGTCCACTTACACACGGGCCTCTTCTCCTCTCTTCCCACCAGGCCCCCTACCAAGAGATTTAACAGCAGGAGGGAAGCTGTCCTCAGGCCTGGATATTACCGGCCGACCTCACAAAATATGCTCCTTCCTACCTGTCAAATAGTAAGGTTTATTCCTTCCCACAAGAAAGTGGGTTTTAGGTATCCATTCATTCCTTGGCTCAACTTTCCTGTTTTGCATTCATATACATATGTGTTTAGACAAACACTGACACTTCCTTCTTTCTTTTGTATGCGTGTGTGTATATATATATATACACACAGACACACACACACACAAAAAAATAGCTAACACAATTGTACTACTAATTTCTATTGGTTTATTCTTTTTTAACTTCTTTTTTTTTTCTTTTTTTGTCTTTTTGAGACAGGGTCTCACTATGCAGTTCAGGCTGGCCTTGAGCTCACTTGGTAGCCCAGGCTGGCCTTGAACTTCCAACGATCCTCCTGCTTCAGTCTCCCAAGTGCTGGGATTACAGGTATGCACTACTACGCCCGCCCTTCTATTGGTTTATTGAAAGAACAGTTAATGTTTAATTGTCTGATCAATCTTGCATGCCTATATCTGATAATCTGAGCAACTACTTTGAAAATAACAATATGTAATACAACCATTGTTAATTTCCTATTATCCTTTTTTTTTGGAATTCTGTATCATTTTTATTGCTTTTGTGTGGTTTATGTTTTTGTATTTCTTTTTGTTATTTTGTTTTTGTTCTTTTCTCTTTAAAATAAAAAAAAAAATCCCCCCCCCCAAAAAAAAAGATAAACACTGACAGTAGGTCTAAAATGTTTTAGTACTATAGAAGTCTGGGGATGTAGCTCAGTGGTAGAGTGCTTGCCTAGCATGCATGAGGTTCTGGGTTCTAAACTCTAGTGCCCTCCCCCAAAAGGACTACAAAATTTTTAATTTTATAAACTAGATCTACTAAATTTCAAATCAAGCCCTCCTTCTTAAACATACTTGTTTCTAATAAATTGTTTCACAAGCAAATACTCTGCCCTTAATATCAAATAATGTTGCCCACGAACAACGAGAGCTTTCAGAACGCTGATGCCGCTGGCTTGCACCAGCCTTTGGGGGGAATCAGTCGCTGGGGCAACCCTGGCAGGGCCCACTACAGAGCTGCAGTCTTGCTTTACTTGTGGTCAGAGCACCGCTGGGCTCCAGTTATTAAGTTATTCCATTGCTATCCAGACTATTTTCACCAAAAGGAAAAAAGAAACCTTTGCGATGGTTTAATGTTATTGCATTTGCAAATTACAGCATACCGAATGTTACCGCTTGCAGTCTTGAATTCATCTTTTCAAATTTTCTCACCTTATATGAAATAACCTCTTAACCACCCCTTCTCCCCCTCGGCCCTTTCTCACTTTGGGTACAAAAACTGCAAGCAGAATCGTTCTCTAATAGAAACCTTATACCGTCTTCCAAAACTTATTACAGCTGCTTTTGGTATAAAATGAAACCTCAGAGAATGTTATTTAAAATGTTTTTTAAAAGTCAGTAGGCCTCATGTTTCGTTTCTCCACATCAGGCTTTGATTTCCTTTGCAACCTTATTCTCTGCCCTTAAACAAGTCAGAGAATGAGGCCTGAAACATCTTGGAAATGGTCCCAGGATGCCAGCATCTGCTGAGTGCCATGCTCTTCCCGCCCCCTTCAGCCATCAATCTTCCCTGGTGTCCATCAGACACTCACGAGCAGCAATCAAGAAGTGGAAGCCAGTACCTAACTTCTAAAATGCTGGGGTAAAAGCCAAGTACAGATGGCTGATGAGGAAGCAGGTCGGGCAGAGCAGACTGCCTTGTGTGGCCTTCCCAGTGGGCGCAAGGAAGAGAACACCGGCCATGAGAACAATGCTCCTCCCATAGCCAACCTCCTGCCCTGGAACCTCAACAGGCCCTGACCAACTGAACCCCTCAGGTTTGCAACTTTTCACATCAGTCGAAATAAAAAGGATTAGTCCATGAATTATTTCTGGATGAGAGACGAAAGCCCAGAGCTGGCTCAGTTCTTCCCCTGTGTGATAACAAAATCACATCTTCCCCACAGGAAGGATTTACAACGTTAGGCAAGGTTCTTTTACAGCATGTTTAACTCTCTAATATTATATAAAACAGATTTTTCTTTCTACAGGAGTGAAATAAATACACAGAAAGCCGAAAGGCTGATGAACAGCTCACCTCTCTTACTTGACTGCAATTTAAAAATAGACAAGACTCTGAGCTCAGCAGGTTGCAAATGTACAATACATGGACCTGCAACAGGATGAGAACCTTTCAAATAGTGACTCCAAGGTCCCTGTGTGCATTCCAAATTAAGACACAATGGAAAGCCGGCCAAAGGGTGCGGCTGTTGCCGATGGGACAGTTGGCTGCACTGCTGGAATGAGGTTCCACCAAATAAATGAGTAGTAAACAGCCTGAAGTACTCTAAAAAATACATTCCCTCCCTGCCTTGTCTCTCTCTCTCTCTTGCTCTCACCCCCTTTTTTCAAGTGTCCACTTCACTAAAGCAGAAAGCCCAGCTGCTAAGAGGCCAAATGTCCAGATTGTCTCTTGAAAGTCTTGTTCTATCGCTAGGAGCCATAATCCAGCTAAAGGCTGCAGGAAGAAAACATAGCCTACATCATTCCAAAGGGTAATTATGGAGAGCAGGAGAGAGAGGGACAG